CCGGCGAACAGCCTGCTGATTAACGGCAGGGACTCCAGCCACATGGAGTACGCCCAGAACACCCTGAACCACCTCCTCGCCAACCGGGAAGACGTCAGGCAGAAGGTGGAGGTGAGCGGGCAGGGGACGTGGGGGCCGAGCACTGCCCACCCCCCTCATCGCTGATTTTGGAAAGGTGGAATGTTTCATGAGTGGGGAGGGGCGTGGGGTTGAGCCTGTGGTGCCCAGCGAGGGGACGGCACTCGGGGTTATCTTGCCCTGGTCCCCTGCTTGCCCCTGCACCTCACCTCCAAACACACTCTTTGTCCTTCCTCTCCTGAGTTTATCCGGGTTAAAACGAGCCGGGTGACTTGATTCGTGTGGGACTGGCTGTGGACGGTGCCTCTTCGGGTCGTACAGGAAAGCACAAAGGCACCGAGTATCCCCGAGCTGGGAGCATCCCCCAGCCAGGAGTGTCCCCGAGCCGGGAGCATCCCTGAGCTGGGAGCCACGTGGCTTTCCAAGGTCAGACGCAGCACTGAGAACAGTTGAGGCGAACCCAAGTCCCCAGGAGAATGCCCAGATTACTCTTCTGTCCTCCTTCCCCAGCGTAAAGGCTTAGTGTAAATAGGGGCTGATCCAGATATTAAGTAAATCAAAGGAGCCCCAGAAGGGACACATTGTTTGAGCTGCTGTTTTTACCCAGCTTTAATTCCTGCTTTGGTCTTGATGCTAATCTGAATTTGCTGGGCTGTCTGTACATGTTACCGTGTTTTCTGCAAACTCTCTTTGATTTTCCAGGCAATAAGTAGTAACCTAATTCAAGGAGAAAACCGTATTTAATATTTTTTTAAGACATGTTCTCTGGATCTTGCTTCAAGCCGGTGGCTGCAGCACCCAGCTGCTCCCGTGCTTTTCCTTTCTCTCCCTCCCGGCAGCTCCATTCATCTTCCTAGGGGGGCACGCAGGGGGTCGCAGCCAAGTCACGTAGCAAAATGAGTCTGGGCGAAGGTAACAGTCGCAAAACTTCCTGCGATCACATTAGCTCATCTTAATGACTTAATATGAGTCAGTGAAGCCACAGCATCTGGCTGTGTGCTTGTCCCAGCTCCTCGCACATGAAACGCGTTAGTTCAAACCTTGGAGGAGGAGAGTTAAGCTAACGTGTTTCATTTGACATTTCCCGAGGCCTGGGAGCGTTCGTGTGCTCCCCTAATGAGCGGGAACTCATTAAGCTGGAGTAGCTCAGTTGCATGAGAACGTCTGTATTTTAGGGTCCAGCCCCTGTGTTTTATTCCTTGACAACCTCCCCAGTGAGAGCCCTGGCATGGGCCACGAGCCATTTGTCATCAGAACTGAGTTACAGAAGCAAAATGTATCAGCCACGGGACACTGGAG